TATAGCTCTGAAATAATAGGAGATCATGTTCTAACTGATTGAAAATGTGTTATATAGTTCCAGTGTTCTGTAATGACAGACTAACATGTATCAGATGGCCATGACCTTCCTACCAATAGTAATCATAAACTCTTGACAAAATGTAAGCAACGACAGAAATTGTTTATTGGCACTAGCAAGTAACTAAAAGTAGGCTGAAACTAAAAGGGCTTCTATCTGTGGAATAAGGAAACCACACTGAGATCCACATTTAAGAGATCACGTAACTTTGACCCCGAGGGTCCTCCTTAACTCATATGGTAAGTGGCTGAGATGGATCAAACAGAAAGCAATAGTTTATTGGCATGGGAAACCAAAGGACTGAATTCAGGATTGTCAGAATAGGAATTGAGGAGGAGATGCCAGAAAGGAAAGAGTCACAGATAGGTTAGCCCCCAAATCTACAAATAAATTCCTCTTTAATCCTTGGTTGAGTCTATGCATATACAGAGACTCTAAGAAGCCTAGGAATAAAATAAAAGCTAGAAGGTGTAAAGAACTGAGCAAATAATTCAGCAGCTTCTTAATTGTATGTCTGTAGAATTTGGAATTTTAGTTCTCCCCAAATTAGAGGGGGTTGGCGAACACATTGGATTTTCCATTGAAACTTCAGAAGGCCCACGTGATAGGAGTAAAGACTATATCTTGGGACTAAAGGATTTTTCCTAGAACTAAAGGAAAAACTGAAATAGACCCACCTTAACAAAATTTCAATATTACCTGACAGTATTTTACCTGCTGCTAGAACACACTTCAACACTGGAGGAAGATAATAGAATCTAAAGCCTCTACCATATATTATACACACATTTCAATATGCCATCAGTAATTACTAGACATGCAAATAAATAATAAAAAGAATCCCAGAGTCAAATGAAAAATGAGTCAATACAAACAGACCCATAGCTGACCTAGATAATGGAATTGGCACACAGGGACATTAAAATTACTATGTAAAATCTGTTAAGGAGTTTATATGACAAGATAAATAGAGTAGGTGAGAAGATGGCAAATTTCAGGAGTGACAGGAAAATAGTAAGAAGAAGAACCAAACGGAAATTTCAAGAATGAGAAAAATTAAATATCTGAAAATTTAAAAATTGGGATGGAATTAATAACAGATTTATCACAACTCAGTAATAAAAAGACAAAAATTAGCAAAAGACATGAGCAGATGCTTCCAAAAATAAGATACATGAATGGCCAATATACATTTGGCAAGATACCCAACATCATTAGATACCAGAGAAATGTGCACTGAATACTCCTTTGTAGTCATAAGAATTGCCAACATTAAAAAGGCTGACAAACACCAAGAGATTGCCACAGTTTGAACTCTCTTACATTGCTGGGGTTATGTGTAACATAGTAATCAGTTGGGAAAACTGTATGTTAATTATTTATATAATAAAATATATGCTTACCTAGTAATTTCACTCAGTGATATTTGTCCAATGGAAATGAAAACATATAGCCACAAGATGGTTTATACAAGTATGCAGATTTATTCATAAAAGCTAAAAACTGTAGTCTAATGTCCATTCACAGATGAAGGGATAAAGAAATTACAGCATATTCAACAATGGAGTGTTAGAAATATATAGGAATGAAGTCTAAATATATACAACATGGATGAATCTCAAAAATGTTTACTATGTGGAGTAAAAGAAGGCAGTCTCTCTATATGAAGTTTGAAATTATATAACAGGTAAAACAGTTCTGGTGATCAAAGTCAGAACAGGAACTCCCTCTGGGTGAGGCAAGGGAAAAATGAATAGAAAGGGCAGAAAGTAGGCTGGGCATGTTGCTCACACCCGTAATTCCAGTACTTTAGGAGGCGGAGGTGGGAGGATCATGAGGTCAAGAGATTGAGACCATCCTGGCCAACATGGTGAAACCCCATCAGCACTAAAAATACAAAAATTAGCTGCGTGTGGTGGCATATGCCTGTAGTCCCAGCTACTCAGGAGGCTGAGGCAGGAGAATTGCTTGAAATCATGAGGTGGAGGTTGCAGTGAGCCGAGATGGCACCACTGCCCACCAGCCTGGCAACGGAGCGAGACTCTCTCTCAAAAAAAAAAAAAAAAAAAAAAAAAAAAGAAAGAAAGGGCACAAAATAACTTTTTGGGTTGATGGAAAGGTTCTGTATCTTTATTAGCATCATGGTTACATAAATGCACACAGTTGTTAAAACTTGTCAAAACTGTAGACTTAAAATCTGTACCTTTGATTGTACGTTATAAGTCATAAATAGAATGGATAGAAATTTAAAAATAATGTAATATAATGCTTCGATATACCACATGCAGGAATTGAGAAGGCAGCAATTTATAGGGGTTAAGAGCATGGTTACAGCATCAGAGGAATCTGGGGTTTTGAATCACATTGTGAGTACTTTGTGAATGTAGGCAAGTTACTGACGTCTTCTAAGATCCTATGAAATGGAGATGATAAAATTAGTATTCACCTTATAAGGTTGTCCTTAGTGCATTGCCTGGCACGTGGATGCATTTGATACATTTAAGCTGTAGTCATTATTATTAAATAGCTCTTCAGCTAGACTTTCATTGCCCAAATGCAGTCAGGAATACTGGGATAACCATGAAAATTTTGAGAATTAAATATCTGCAAACTGCATTAGGGTACAATCTAAATAATGCAGATAATATCTGACAGACAGTGTATGTTTAAATATGCTAGCAAGTCCTATTTTCGCAAAGTAACTATCTCTTTGCCAAGAAGAAATTATTTGCTTTAAAATACTTTTCTTAAAGCCCTTGTAAAAAAAATTCATATATAGAGAAATTAGGACATAATTTTTCCCTTCTACAGTAGTCTGACCCTGTTTCCAGTCTCATAATCATATCACCAAAGGTACATATATTTTCATAAATATGTGTGCTGAATATATAGATACACATTACATATATATAATTTTTTACACATATATACCCATATATGTATATTTAGTGTGTGTGTGTGTGTTTGTGTGTATGTACGTGTGTGTGTATAGTGTTGTAAACAAAATGGTAACCATACTATATATACTTTTCTAAACCTGGTATTTTCACTGAGAAGTCTTTTCATGTGAAAGACTCTGTTTACCTATAAAGCTGGCCTATTCTTTTTAACTGCTGTATTGCAGTCTATGGCATCGATAGGCTTTTAACTTTGTAACTACGTGAGATACTACCATTATTGATAAGGACTTGTAAGAAAACCAGTGCTTGAAGCATCACATGTCTAGTTAATGTTCAGAGTCTGGATTTCAACCTAGAGTTTGTGAAACACTCAGTCTAGTGTAGTCTGGAGCGAATTTTTATTGTGAGTGTCTTTGAGGTTCAGGTTAATTGTCAGACTTTGCCAATATGCAAGTGGTGATGTAGTAAAGGCCAGATAATCTTGTTTCCCTAAGACAACTGTGGGGCCAAAAGTGGGGCCTCCATGCCATGCAGTGGCAGCAGAAGCCAACGTAGACATTAGACAAGTTATACTTCCCTGAGTGCCAATAGCCTGTCCCATATCCAGCTTCCTCTAAAATAATAATAATGATAATAATAAAGAGTAAGGATCAATTGCATGATGTTACGAACTGTGGAGAGAAGAAGTCTTCAGACCTGTAATATTCTATCTACTTTCACATTCCAGATTACTATTGTTTTCTCTCTTTTCCTTTATTTTGCAATCTTGCTTTTTTTTTTTTTCTGTCCAAAGGGCCCATTCAATAACAACTAATATCCCAAATTCTCAATTTCCTAATTTATATGTCTGTGGTCTTTTAGTGTGTGCACTCACACATAGAGAGTTTTAATTTCCAGTGACATCAAACTTGTGCTTTCAAAAGGTAATTTGTGATGCCTGGGTGTGAAAGGGGCCCTGGTATAAAGCCAGAGAGCTGATAAGAGCTGAGGCTGGTCATGGACACAAAGCCTGCCCCTCTGGTGGAGTCGGAGCGGCACAGAATTTCTCCTTCAGGCCCTGCCAAGTGAGGGTAAGGGGTGGTCTTATGGGTGTTAAGCAAGACCTAATCTACCCTTGCGAGGCCCCCAGTCAGACACCCTGCAGAAACACAATCAGGCTTGTGTCATTCTGTTGTGGGGAGTAGTTGCTAAAAGATTTGGTTTTGATTTTGGTAGCTTTAATTCTACTCTTTCACTTTGAGGTGAGCACAAATGTTTCAGAGCGCCTTCCTAGGTTTCTTTCTGACCTTTTTTCTTCTCTAACCTGTGGTGTATTCAAGGCAACCCTCACCAGCTCAGGAGAGAGGGAAAATTGTGAGCATTTCTTCCCAACCCTGTATTCAGTGACATCAAGTTAATAGCTTAAAATTGGATATGGGGAAAGGAATTATACCACTGAAATGGGAAAATGCTACATATCAAGGATTCTCCCACCCCAGAGAACCTGTTGTTTAGCACATCACTTCTGTAACCCTTCTACTTCTGTTCACCACATAAACCTTCCCCTCACCACACACACAGACACACATAAACACACAGGCAAGCTAGGGTATGAAACATTGGACACCCTGGGTTTTCTTCCAAGGGCTGTTGTTATTTATAAGAAGAACAAATTTCGTTCTTTTCCTCTTCTCATCTTGAGCTTTACACTTATTTCCAAAAGCCGGCCTGGCATGGTTGCTCACACCTGTAATCACAGCACTTTGGTAGGCTGAGGCAGGCAGATCACGAGGTCAGGAGATGGAGATCATCCTGGCCAACGTGGTGAAATCCTGTCTCTAATAAAAATACAAAAAAAAAGTTAGCCAGGTGTGGTGATGCACACCTGTAGTCCCAGATACTCAGGAGGCTAAGACACTAGAATTGCTTGAATCCAGGAGGTAGAGTTGCAGTGAGCTGAGATTGCACTACTGCACTCCAGCCTGGCGACAGAGTGAGACTCAGTCTCAAAAAATTTTTGAAAAAGCCACATATAAGCTAACTTTCTTCTCTCTCCCTTAGTGGATGGCTGTATTCATAGAGCAGCTGGCCCCTGTTTGCTAGCTGAATGTCGTAACCTGAATGGCTGTGATACTGGACATGCAAAAATCACATGTGGCTACGACCTGCCTGCAAAATGTGAGTAAAACTTTTTTGAATACTGTTTCAAAATCGGATGAGACATCTTAACTTGTTTTATTCCATTGTATAACTGGAAAAGGAAATGGCAGTGGTGGTATTTAATTAAATGCGCTTCAGTTCAGATTTTGTACATGGTAATAAAAAGTGCTTTCCAAATCGGTCTCCAAATATATATATATATATATATATATATATGTGTGTGTGTGTGTGTGTGTGTTTATGTGTGTGTGTATGCACATATACACACATATATATACATATATGTGTGTATATGTGTATATACACACATATATACACATGTGTATATGTATGTATACACACATATGAAGTTTAACCATTCAAGTATTTGACAGAGTATCTCTCAAACAGGGAAATAAAAATATGAGCAAAATATGCATTATAGCATTTAAGTGCCACAGAGTGACAGCTCCTGGAAATGAGGCCAATTTCTTATTTCTTGTTCAGGTTTCTTGATTGTGGTTGTGTTTAGAGCAAAGGAGATCAAAGTGATGTATTGTGTTTTCAGCTGCCATGTAAAGGCTGATTGGCAATTACAGCCAAGGCATCTGTCACACTTTGCTTTCAGGAAAAGCCAATGGAATCTGGTTGTCAATGTGAGAATGTATTTGCTCTTTGAATATGGAATGGTCAAAATTTCCATTATATTTTAATAGAGAGAAGTATTGCATTTGATTGACCTTGTTGCTTAATCATTCAACCAACTGGGTGAGGTCATACCGAATAAAATACTTAAAGAGAAGCTGGTTAAAGGTATAGCCTTTTTTTTTTTTTTTTTTTTTGAGACAGAGTCTCACTCTTTTGCCCAGGCTGGAGTGCAGTGGTGCAATCTCTGCTCACTGCAACCTCTGCCTCCTGGATTCAAGAGATTCTCCTGCCTCAGCCTCCTAAGTAGCTGGTACTACAGGCACGTGCCACCACACTCAGCTAATTTTTTATTTTTAGTAGGAATGGGGTTTCACCGTATTGGCCAGGCTGGTCCAAACTCCTTACCTCAGGTGATCTGCACCCCTCAGCCTCCCAAAGTGCTGGGATTACAGGCGTGAGCCACTGTGCTTGGCCTAAAGGAACAGCTTTTTTATCCTGTAATTTTCAGGGCCTGAGGAGGGAGGTGGAGGGTTTCATTCCAACATTAAAGTGTGCATTGTCCTGGAAGTTGAGACACCAATTTGTTGATTTTCCCATTCACCTACTTCTTATGATACCACTGATGCATTTTATGTAGAAGTAAAGCTGGTTTGGGGTTTTGTTTTAACAGTGGAGAAAACATGAATGAAAATTTATAATACAATCTATAGGATACAATGGGTAATATATATGCAGGTTGTCTAACCATGAATTTCCTGTGGATATGTGTGAAGGAAGACTAGTGTGTTATATTTTAAAGATAGCTGTAAAAGTGTGTTTAAATGTGAGGATTTGTAGTAAATAGTAATATATTAAAACAGTTTTTTAATCAATGTAATATTGCATCCTATATTGCTCAGAATGGTTTTCCAGTGAAAGTGCTTTCATATGCTGCATAATGATGTTTTGGTCAATGATGGAATGCATATGTGATGGTGGTCCTGTAAGATTATAATACAGATTGAATATCCCTTATCCAAAATGCTTGAGACCAGATATAATCTGGATTTCTGATCTTTTCTTCAGACTTTGAAATGTTTGCATATGCAAAATGAGATAACTTGGAGATGGGACCCAAGACTAAGCACACAATTCATTTATGTATATATATATATATATATATATATATATATATATATTCCTTGCACACATAGCATAAGAGTAATATTATGCAATATTTTAAATAATTTTTTGCAGGAAACAGTTTTGATTGTGTTTTGACTGGGCTGGCCACATGAGATAATGTGTGGAATTTTCCACTTGTGGCATGATATTGGCACTCAAAGTTTCAGATTTTGGAGCATTCTGAGTTTCAAATTTTTGGATTAGGGATTCAACCTGTACTGTATTTTCACTGTATCTTTTCTACGTTTAGATATGTTTAGATATACAAGTACTTACCATTGTGTTACAGTAGTTTGCAGTATTCAGCACAGTGACATGCTGTACAGGTTTGTAGCCTGGGAGCAACAGGCTATATCATATAGTCTAGGTGTGTAGTAGGCTATACCACCTAGGTTTGTGTAAGTGCACCTTACACAACAGCGAAATCACCTAAGGAGTCATTTCTCAGACCATGTTCCCATTGGTAAGTGATTCATGATTGTCTATCAACTATAAGCTGTTTAATTTTTCCTTTAATGACTTTTCATTTCCTTTTCTTTGCTAAGGTCTTTACCTAGTGTGAAAGAGTCAAATCATGTGCCAAATGGCTCTTCACTACTACTTGGAATATATATTTGTGTCAAACAAACCCTTTGTTTACAATGGTGTTTAGAAGAGTTCTCTTTCTAACTCAGAGATCATGATCTGAGTATTAACAGTGATTTCCCTCTGCAGAATTATATAGGGCTATGTTTACAAATGTTGGTTCTTTTCCTTTCTAATACCATGCTACCGTCATGATTTACCTAACTTATACCACTCTGTGAGCAAGCAAAATTGCTGACTGCTACAATAATAGCAAGATTATTGACTGTTTTCAGACTTGTATCTGACCTTAAGCCAAGTAATAGTTATGGTCTGTTTTCTTTCTTATGCATTAAAACACAAATCAAATTTGTCCTAATCTGAGCTTTCTAAAGAACAGTATACTCAGAATCGTTAAATGTGCCTAAATAAAATGGTGGCTCTATCTAGTATATGGGTTCACACTATCACACATGTGAAAATTTTTTAAATATACTTGTATCTGTTTGACAACCATCTGAATAAGTTATTCAGTTTCCTTTGAATGCCATTCATCTTATTTTAAGATTATTGAAGATTGCACAATACCAGACACTGAAAGACAAAGATCAGTAAGTCTAAAGAATTCCAATGCTTGAGTCATAACTTTGAACTGAAGTGTGGCTTTCATGGGCATCCTGGGGCAAGTGGATCTTTAGGGTCAATAATGCTAGAAGTGGCATGTCAGTCCACAGGACTAGCTACAGAATCCATGAGAGCTGAGATCCTGAGAGCCAACATATACTCAAGTCGCTGCATGCAGCCCATAGGGCGTGTTTAGTAAAAACTCATCCAATAGAATAGAAAATTATCAGACAGGTATTGCGATGCCACCTCATAAAAGTCATAAACGTGGCGTATTTGTGGCTAGGTCTTGTTTCTTCCTGTATATTTAAAAGGTTAATGATTTATATTAAAAGCATAAAGGAAAGCAAGGAAAGCAACATGAAAATGAGTAATAATAGCTTACATTTTTATGCCATTTTACAGTATTTCACAGTACTTTCACAAGCCCTTATATTTTAAATTGTGTTTTATAAACATTGTGTGTGTTCATTTTCCCTTTCCCTATCCCTGAGAGATGTTTTTCTTTCTCATCAATTTGGTTCATCCATTTCAGAGTCATTAACAATCCACAGATGTGCTTTTGTAGTGAGAATGAAAAGGGAGCTCATTACATACTGTTTGGGTCATTTTTCCCCTCCATATTTAATAATTCCATGACAGTTTGACAGCAGAGACTAGTTCCTATCTGTCCTCTGAGACAGCGGGTTTATCATTATAGGGGTACTAAAGGCAGTCATACAGCCACAAGTGATAATATCTTCATGCATCAGCAATTTGTTTGGAAAATGCTATTGTCTGGGTTACAGACAAACTTGATAATTTTGAGCTGGTTTTTGCCTCTTTTATGCTTGCTAAATTATTCTATTCATAAATGCTTGTATTTGAATTAATTATACTTGTATTCTGTGTTCTGTGACTCATCATGAATGGTAGAATGATAAGCCCCAGATATTTAGTTTACTCTTCACTGCTTGGATGTTTTGAATGATTTCTTTTTGACGTTAAGAATATCCAATCATTCTTTTTAAAAGAAATCTTAAGCATAGAAAGAATATTGGTCAATATTTCATTGAAGGCTATTGCTAAGGAAATGACTTAGAAAGTAGATGGAAGATTGTTTACGTAATTGGATCTTTTGGGAATTTTCTCTACAATGTTAGATATTTTTTGAATTTATAATACAATTTAAATTTTTATAGATTTTTAGAAGCTTGTTGACTTATGAGACATTTCTATTCAGGCTGTTGTCATTTCACCAGGCAGTCAGCTTCACACGGGCAAGATTTGTCTATCTCAGTTACAGTTCCAATGTCTATATCTATCATAGTCTCTCCTAAATATGTGCTGAATTAATGTGAATAAGTGAAGGATAAAATGAGTGAATTATTTCAGGACTTTTTTTTTTTTTTACCTGAAAAGCAGTTAAAAAAAAATATTGCCTCTACTTGTAATACTTTTCTGTCTGCAATTACTCTGCACAGTTCTAGTAAATTTACATACTTAGATTTAGAGTCCTTATAATTGTCTACAAGGCTGTACATGATGTGACCTTTACTTCCCTACCTCATCTCCTTCTGTGCTTCCCCTAGTCACACAGGCTGCTTTGTGTGAACTGGTCCCCAAAGCCTTTGCACTGGCATTCCCTCTGCTGGAGTTCCATTCCTCTGCAGACCTACATGGCTTGTTCCTTACCTACTTCAACTCTTTTTCAAATGTAACCTCAGGTGTCACCCTAACCAACCTATTTATGATTTCTTCACTTTTAAAATTTATAATCACATGTCTATAAAATTAATCTTCAAATATGTCATTTACTTATTTGTTTCTTATCTGCTTACAAGAGTAAGGACAGAGACTCTTTTCGTATTTTTCTAATTTATTGCTGTATTCATATAGCTTAAAAAATGTCTGATATATAATAGGGGCTCAAAAGATACTTGTTGAATGAATGAATAAAATGTAACTCTAATCCTCTCAAAATCTGCTAGTGGACTTTTCCTTAAATACAGACATATTAGCCTGATTACCTTTGGCCTTCCACTGAACTACTTACAACC